TCCTTTTTATCAAATTTTACTGTCATTCTCTAATTATTTGTCTACTCTTGAATTGACACACCTATTAAAAAAGTAATTAATGACATAATGAGTTTACCATTTTACCCCTATTAATTATGAAGTGGATGAAAAGTTTTACATTTTTCAAAGTAATTAATCATTTAATTGAGAGTATAATAGGTAAAAAAAATTTGTCATTTCTTGATTTGTCAAAATGGACATGTAATTGGAGACAACTATAAAAAAAAAAGTGGACAAATAAATAGGGACAGAGGGAGTATTATTTATTCCTCCGTTTTTTATTTGTTCACGATATTAAAAATACATAAAATATATTTGGCAGGACACTTTTTTGGCACTTAATGACAGGATCTTACTTTTTCAGGGTGAGGTCGTAATTTCGTAGAAATAGGAAGGGTGATAGGGTAAATTCATTTTTTTTGTACCCAAAGTACCCTCTTATGTAAAATTACTAAAAGAAAAATCTTAAACCACTAGATGGTTTCAAGAAATTACACTGTTCAAGAATTTTTTCCTTTCCAATAAAAAAACATTGCCCAAGAAGCATTTATTGTAGTTTATTCTTCCAATATTTTTTATCTTTCATTGTTGTTTATTCTTCCATTCTTCTTCCTTTTTAATATCACTTGTTTTTAAGGGGGAAAATAAGGTATATTCATTAATTTTTAAAAACATTCTTTAAAGTAATATTTATTAATTCATTGATTAATTAATATCTCTACAAAATAATAATAATAATAGTTTACAATTTCAATAATTATATTTCACGTTGAGAATAACACTACTAATTTATATTAAATTCAAAATAGTTAATGAATCCATTATTTTCTAGTTAAATTATTTTTTATATAATATTTCCTTAACAGTATTAATTGTAGGGATAAAGTGAGAAAAATATTTAACTAATTTTATTTTAATTTAATGAATAAACAAGTAATTTAATATATATATATATATATATATATATATATATAAAAAAACTAATTTAATTAACTTT